ATCGACCAGACTACACAGCGCAACAACCCAGAAGACAGAAATCTTCATACTCATCGCCCTGATGATGGAGGCAGTATGACCTCTGAAACGTTGGTAAACATCAACCAGACTACACAGCGCAACAACCCAGAAGACAGTAATCTTCATATTCACCGCTGTGAAAACCTCAAATCTTACACAGTAGTCTATTTTGTTTATGGAACCCAAAGGTTCATCACCGTGTTCACAAAAGCCTACCATCAGACTATATCCTGAGCTAGCTGCATCCAGGACAATTAATTACAACAGCAAAGAAGACTGATGTAATATACAACAATTTTCTCAACACAAAGTTTCTCCTTTTTCATCCATCATGTATATTGTTTCTAAAGTGAAAATATTATTTATAATTACTCTGCAAGTGCTGGAAGTAAGGAGAGGGAAATAATTTCTCAGATGGAAAATATCTTCTGTGAAGAACACAGAGAGAATATTGTACTAAAATTATCTAATTACAGAGAAACCTAGACACTACTCATTTCTTTCATACATGATATTTACTTAATTACTTCTAAAATTATATCTAAATCTCACTGGTATTACAACATGCCTTTATAAAATAAGGAAATATACATTTTTTTCTTAGTTTTACTTATTTTAATTACCTCTGCAAGAAATCATAAAATTTGAATTTGAGAATTAAAATGTTATACTACATACTGCAGAATACAGAAGCAGCAAAAATATAATATGTGCCTTTTCCAAGTCACGGTTTAAAATCCATGCAAATGCCATGAAGTACACTTCCAAAGCAAAAGGAATCAATCACACATCACATTGGATGAGGAACGCATCTCCACTACATCACAAAAACATGCCTACTACTTCAGAAGATGATTTGAACTTATGTTAATCAAGTTAAAAGTAAAGCAGTCCCACTATACGTCATGTACGGGCCTTTGAAAATCATCTCTTGAGTCTAAGGCTAAAAAGTGTTCACAATAAAATGGAGTCTTGTCAGATTAAGCCCTTGGAGAAACAAGGTTCTTTCCTGACACAAATCTATTCTGTCATGTATCATGGTCACTTATGATGGTACATAGGCTATAAATGACATTTCTTGATCACTTTTAAAGTATTTTTATTTAAAACCGTACTCAATTATCATGCTTTACATCTATCATAACCGCAATAAGCACAATTAATGTAAGTACCACTGAGTTTATGTTTGATGGAAATCAGCATAAGTCCTTAATGTGCAGAGAATTTGGGAATAATAAAATTAATATCTGAAATAAGTAACATGGTTGGAGGGCTGTTTAAAATATAAGCAGCCAAAACTAACCTATTTATAGAGAAGCTAGGCCAGGAGCAAGAATTGAGGTTATGGAAGAAAGAAAAAGGCCCAGATAGCACCTCCAACCAATGTCAAATTGTTTCAGAGCAAACTTGCCTGACCTGATTTACCTTGTCGGTGTCCAGGCCCTTGGTCATGGCCCATGTGGATACAACATAGTCCATAACTCGCTCTGACAGAGCTTTGGGCACCTCGTGCAGTTTCATGAACTCTCTCACATTATTCAACATATCATGGTACTTGGCTGTTGCTGATGTCATCTGCTGGATGATGGTTGTCACATGACCAAATATGGTGGCATACAACAGTGCTTCATAAAATAAATTAAATAATTAATATTACACATTCAAAATTTTATCAAACTAATAAATTATCAATTTTTTTTTTTTGGCTAAGAGTTAATACTGTTGGACTCTAATAAATAATGTGAATGTAAGCAAAAGCACTAAAGGAAATTTCATTATAAGTTCAGAAACTTGTAATCAAATAAGTTCACAGTTGGTAGTCAAATTATTTATTTTCCTAAAAACCATCTTTTTTCAAAGCAGTTGGTAGAATGATCCACAAGCTTATTAATTCTACCAGAATAAAATGTTATGAGTTAGACTTTAAGACACTCTTGCATGGCTTTTTTCCTTGAATGATGCTCATTTCAGATGCAATTTCATCAGACCTGATTCTTCAGTTGTCCTTGATATGCTGACTGATTTGTCCATAACCTCAACCCATGTTACATTTGATGGCAACCCACAATACTCTTCTTCAAACCTTTCCACTGATCTGTAAACATTCCTCTGCTTCATATAATTACTGTCATAGTGAACACTAATTCTTCCATAAAATTCACTAGTCTTCCAACACTCAGACCACGATTGTTGTCATTCTTTGGTGCATTCTATCAATGAAGCTGCCATGTTACATGTGTCACACACTACTCAAAATATAACAAAATCAAGTAGGTACAAATGATCGATGGATTAAACTGTTTATAACTGTCATCCTTTCTATTATATATAATGCCTTATAAGTATATAATTTGCCAACTTTGATGTAACTAAAATATCAGGAGTATGTTAATTAGTTTTATATTTGGCTCAAAAACGCTCATTAACAAAAAAATACTTTTTAATTCAATGAACAACACTGCTGACAAAAATTGGCCTGATTACAATAAAACATTTTCTCCTGTTAATTTTGTCACAACAAGTTTTTTTTTTCAAGTTGGAACTATAATCCTCCTCTAATTACTTCCCCTGTTCTCCCCAGAAGTAATAAAATGGATTATCCAGAGGTAAGAATGGTCACAAATATTAAAGGGTGGGTTATGAGGTTCCTTACCTGCAATTATCATCATGCAGATGGTGAATATCTTCTCATTGTCTGTTTCTGCAGCCACATTTCCAAAACCAACGCTGGTCATACAGGTCATGGTGAAGTAGAGTGCGGTGACATACATTGTTTTGCGGGACGGCCCATTGATGAGCTCGGGCGAGTTGGTATCGTTGGACCAGATATACGAATAAGGTGATTGCGTGACATTGGCTAACTTCCACAGCCATGAATACTGGACACCATTATCAGCATCTGAACGTCCTATTGAGTACCAGATGCACGCAAGCCAATGCGCGACAAGCATATAGAAGCAGAGCAGCAATATCAACATGGCGGCACCGTATTCCAGATAGCGGTCCAGCTTGCGCACCACGCGACCCAAACGTAGTAGCCGGACCACTTTCAATGCACTGAATAGGCTTCCGATCCCCTGCAACAGCCGAGGAGGCCAATCCAATACTTCTGTCATCTGTCATTAGCGCGTTACTGTCGGACTGTTGGTTCTGTCTACAATTCAAGAGCCTTATAAAATATCAATCAAAGCATAATTCAATGAAAGTGCCTTTCCTAACATGTCAGGGGATATGCAAACTGTTAACATCACTTGTGTTTCTTCAAATCACAGACTCTTGGTGGTGTGTATATACATTCTAGTAGGAAATTCAGTTCTGTGTGACCTTGTTTTACCTGAAAAATAATTAAACAAGATGCAGTAATTACATACTGTCTTAAACACTATCCATTCTTCTTGGGGTCTTGCATTAAAACTATTAAAATGTCTTTGTCAATGCTCTGGTCTCGTATGAAACCTGGAACAGAACTGTCATGATTTGGAACACACCCCTTTTAAAATTTAAATAACTGAGATGACTGTATTTATACACTCTATACTTTTAGGTATTAAACTAATAATTATAAAATCTGTTGTAAAACAACATCCATATTTACAACAAAAGCACATCTCTAATTACTCCAGTTTTTTTTTTTTAAATATACACTGAGATTTAAAAGAAAGATCCTAATAACAGATTATTAAAATAGCTAAAGGATATCTTGAATATATTACAATCAAAATCATAGTTATTATTTAATATAGGCATTTTATTGATTGTGCTTTGATGTGATGTAGATGGCTCATAGAATTGTAATACTACAACACTGTCCATTTAGTGGCACAAATGACCCCTAAATATCTTCCATTAGCTGTGTGATAAAATCCTACTGGGTGATGGGCCATGTCAATTTGGAGCAGAAATCAAGCTTTTCAGAGATTGAGACACAAAAAAGGCCTCCAAAACGCTGGACTTTTGATCTGAATTGATACAGCTGTTTTCCAAGAGGATTTTATCACTTTTAGTTACCATAGAATCTTCATGTCATATCTTCATCAGCTGCTCTAAATTAGTCAGTCTATTTTTTTTTTTTTTTTTTGGTTGAAGTTTATTAACGACATGTGTCGTGTTTGTGTGCATAATTGTTAGTGCTCGTTACAGTGCAATAATGCGTAAGTGGCTGTGTTTCAAGAGGATAAATATAAATGCTTGAGAATGGCATGAAATAAAAATAAAATCAATTTCTTTATAAGAAACTGGGTAGCATAAAACCAAATATTTTGTCATGATTGCACTCCTAAAATTTGAAAAATTCAGTAAGCATTAATTTCATCCTAAAAATAAAATGGTACAAACCAGCTCCAGGGCAAGAAGTGTAGAATAGTTGCTTCGAAATAATTATATGTGGATTGACATAAAATGTGAGGTTAGGAAACAGTATTAAATGTTTTCATACATTTGAATTATAATTGAATTTGCATTTAACCTCCATATTATGCAAAATTCTGGCTATAATAATTTGAAATGGGTGTCAGGAAGCTGTGGCATGAAGAGTTTTAATATGTAAACACATTAAATAGCATGACCAGCCAAGTAAAACAGAGTTACATACAATTTCTTTGTAAAAAAAAATTATAATACAAACATGGAATCTTACTGCAAGAATCAAACTACAGTGCATATTAACGATGTTTTTTAAACTCTAATAGCCTGCACAGAACTCAAAGTTTACAGAACATTATATAATGTGAATGTATTATTTTGTACCTGGAATGTACTTCTCCAAGTGCAATATAAAAACTATAACATAAGAATTCAGGTTAATTAATTAACAGACTGGTGCAACAAGTGTTCACAAACTAATTGGTAAGAAGTGACCAATGCTACAGCTTCACCGTGTCAGTGTTATGACAAAGAGAAAATAAGTCACGAAGGGAATAAGATTTTCCAAGTCAATTAACGCTACAAGAAAATATTAGGCACTGGAAGACCGAAGTAACGGTCAAGAAACGGAAGAATGAACGCTTTTTGTGGGTGCCTGAGAGTGCAACATAAAGCATCATTAATCTACATATTTTTATTACCAATTATTTATTTTAATCCATCTTATCACAATATTTTAAAATTTCTTATAATTAAGATAATAAAATATCATTGATGTTCCATATCGATTGATCGATTGACCCACATCTATTCGAAGACACTAGTACTTCTGGACATATCGGAACAATCACTCCTACATCTTTGACCGATATGTACATCTAATAAAATTTAATAAAAACAACACCTTCGCCCAAAAATGAAAAACAAACGTAATGAAACATCACCAAAATACTACAGAAATCATAATTGAGTTTTTAAGTTCTTAGATATATTTTACACCTGATGATGGTTTTATAAAAACTGAAACATGTTGTGTAAATGTTCCGAAATGTAAATCGATCAATTGATATGGAACATGAATGATATTTTATTATCTTAATTATAAGAAATTTTAAAATATTGTGATAAGACGGATTAAAATAAATAATTGTTAATATATTCACAATATGACGCAATTACAATATCTTATATTTTTATTAGTTCATGATATGTACCTAACAATTTGGGTTAAATGCTGATCCATACAAATTACATAAATAAGCCTTACACAATAAATACCTCAAAGAAATTCACCATGGGACTACAGCCAATCCTCTGGATATGTTTCAACATGTACTTGCTAACGGATGCCATAGGTGCTTACTTTCGACACCTTATGTATATTTTATAAAGTACTGGTTTATTACGAGACAAATAATGACTTTTGTTTCCTAGAAACTATATTTCATGTATTCAAGTTTTTAATATCTGCAGCATCCACCACTTCAAAGAAGAGAGTAGAGGTACTCTCACATATTTTACAAAGATCAGAATAATTTATTTCATACCATTCACATCATGTTATTCTTTTTAATAAACCTACTCTAATAAAGCAGGTTAATGTGTTCAGGTGTTACTTTAGGTGTTATATTCCTATTATGATGGTGATATGGGTAGAAAGTGGGAACAATCTTAAACTGTACATACCACAGTCCCTGATTCTGAACACATGACAACATGTGATCAAAATTTTACTCAACAGTTAACCCCTGATAAAGACAGAGTGATCGTCTCGCTAGAGGCTGCAAACGTTCAGAAATAAAACCACTATTTATGCACTAACGGTGATCAAGTGTCATATGTACATACCTTAGTCTCTGAAAAACTGCATCACATAACATAAGGGTGCTGAGAGTGGTCACCCCTGGCATCCATTAATTAGTGGATGTGATGCTCTGAACTGGTCAGTATACACTGTCATGTGTCCACAGGAATGGCTCCAATCTCCTGCCAAATGTTTCCTTTGAGGTCATTGGTGGTGAATAACATGTTCATGTAAGCTTTTCGATTCAGTAGATCCCATTTGAAAATATTTCACAAGGTTAGATCTGGGGATCTTGTCGGCCAGAGGTCCTTTGAGATAATCGGGTCTCGGAAAAAGCTTTCAATTTCCGTCATGCTTGCATCTGATGCAACATCTTGCCTCATTTTACTGGAAGCAGCCGGTAGTTAGATCATCAGTCAAGTGACTTTTAAGGCACTGAAAACTGAGATAAATCTCAGCATTTTAAGCATGGTTAAAAAAACTGGGCCAATAATTTGGGTTAGGGAAACAGCACATCTCATGCAAATTTTCACAAAATGCAATGGTTTCTCATGAATTGCACATGGATTATGTGCCACACTAAAAAAGTGTTTTGTGAGTTTGTGTATCCACTTCGAAAACCACGCTTCGCCTGTAAACCACACGAGATGCACAACCCCATCATGTTGCGTGATTAATAGTTGAAACCATGCATAAAACTGCACATGACTTTCCTTGTCCACTGAAAGCAACGCTTGAACCACAAACACGTGGCAAGGACGCAGTTTCACTTTCTTGGCAGCTTTTCGACATGTGATGTATTGCAGCCAAGTCTCTTTGGAAAGTTTACATAATGACTGTGCCATCTGACTGGACAGCCTGCAACCCATGCACGCTGATCCACAAGGCTTCCGACAGTCTCTAATTTTTTCACCAATTTCTAAATACACCTTTTCAATGGTGCTAACCTACACCAAAATTTGTTAAATGACCCTGTTCGCCAATATGTGCAAACAAGGAACACACACTCTTCAAATTAATACACATTTCTGTCAGAAAAATAAAATGCAGACACGATGAAATATTTCAATGATGGGCGAACATTCCACTAAAGTCTGAACGATGACGGGATGTATTTTCACAAGGACTGGGGTTATATACCTACAACAACGATCACCATTGTGCATAATAGAGGTTTTGTTCCTGAAAGTCTGGGGCCTCTGTTGAGAGATCACTCTGAATTTTCAGAATTGAATATTTTTTAAAACACTCATTCTCTGCAATGTTGGAAACAACAATCTTGCAAACAGAGACACATGGGGGTCAGTCTAACATCAACACAACATCAACACATTGACATACAACATCTATTTTACAACAATGAGCAGTCATTCAGTGCAGTCAACATAAAAAAACTAATCATATGCTTCTGTTACATTCTAAATTCCATACAAAAAATGTGGTGCTAATGCAGTTACTGGGATAAAGCCATGATAATTCCACTATGTAAGACTCTCAAGAACTTAAAAAACTGCTGTAAACTGATAATGCATATATATATATATATTTCCACAGCCATATATCCAGAAAATCACACAATATTTTAACATTCCTTCCTGAAACTGTCTAACTCACTGGAGCAGAGACTCATTTATAAACTGACAGATGCTCAGCTAGCCAAGAAACCTACCAAATTTGATGAAACTTTAATGATTATTACCAAGTGATTTATTTATTTCATCTTTCCTGATTAAACTTCTGTTCGACTTTCTCGTCTCCACTGCATGTTCTACTGATCTCTCCCTCTTTGATTTAATCCATTCTAAAGGGTTCTGATGATGGCGAATTTCAATATTGGACATTTCTTGATCCTCAGGTGTAAGAAAGGGAGGTCCATACGCTGTTGGGTCTGTCAGGAACAGCTAGTCTCAA